AGTTTTCGCGAACTATTTTACAATTTGAGTTTACCGAAAAAATCAACCATACAGGGTAGATAAATTTGTTAACAATACTGTTATGACATAGGGAGATTGCCAAAAGTGAAACGAGGGAAAGGACTAGCTAGCCTTCAAGCACTGGCACTACTAGCCCAGCTTCTCACGGCTTCATCTCAGAAGAGATGCTTTCCTCCGTCCCAAATTTATTTTACTGCAATATGTGTCACAGTCTATGTATTAAGTGTTTTCGGTCGTACAGAAATCGAAACCCTAGGTACACCAGTGTTAGTAATTTTCATTTCTCCAGAAACTTAGAGTTGATGGGTGTTGCTGGTAAAGCCGCAGGTTGGGAATTTCAGGCCCCTCGCAAAGATTTTTGGCACAAGTGAGTCTTGGCTGGCGTACAATTTTACAATCTCAGGATCACTCTCGAGCGTGGCAAACATCACACCGTTGGAAAATTGATTCACAAAACTTCAGGTGTCGTTTTGTCTGCTTCCACACAGGAAAGTGCTATAAGCAAGCGATTGTATAGCACTGTTGATGTTTCTGCAGCTGAAAACATTGGTCGTATTTTGGCACACAGATGCCATTGCATGGGAATCACCACAGCACTCTTTGATGTAACTGAAACACCACTGACCAGCACAAGAAATAAGGCCTTCCACGACGCTCTTCTGGAGTGTGGCTTGGAATTGGAGGAGCCGAGTATCTCTAGGCCGGAAAGTTATGGTATAGACTATGATTCTCTGTCCCTTGAAGAGAAGAGGTCTCTTTACCCAAGTTTAATTGAAGAACTACGTACGACTCCTGACTGGGGTCAACAGACTTACCCTTATTCACTGCGCCCGTTAGCAGGTAGAAGGAAGCTTAAGATGGAATATCAGGTGGGTGTTTCATAATCGTAATCAATAATCTGTGCTCTTATTCATGCATTGTTGGATCTCAGCCAATTGATCCAAATCAACTTTCTCGTGAAATTCCTCAGTGCTAGCAACACTTAACGTTGTGCTTTTATCTGTTCTCAAATGCGCTTTTAGTTTTTGTGTCAAATTTGGCGGTGGTAGGGCTTACTAAGTGCAAATTTGATGCAATCGCCTGCACAGTGTTAACTGTGAAAGCCTTACCGCCTCATTATCTTTGTCTAGGTCCTGTCGAAGGTGCGCCAAGGATACATATGGGACCGCTTTTACGCTCGCTTGGTGAAGCCAGAGCATTTGGCTGCGTGGCAAGTGGAGCAACAAAAAATTCAGGAGGAAACTCTTGGCAGACCACCTCCGTCCTTGGATTCGCTAGAGGAGCCTGCTGAACCCTTTGTCCCCGAGAAGTGGAGGTTCGATTAGAAAGCTTTGACTTGAACTTCCCCTTGTACATATTGTCATTGCTTTTTGCGCGACACTTGAGGTCTTGTTCCGTTCTTGCAGTTGTTTGGCTGGGTCGGAATTAGCGCTGGTGAGCTCGGCGGGGTGGGTGGGGTTGGCTCTTCGAGCATCGGGCGTGTGGGCGGCCATGCGGGCTGTCTTTCGCACGCTGCCACTGTTGCTGGGGGGCTGCTGCTAGGATTCGCCTCACGTTTAGAGTTTCGAGAAGATTTATCAAATGAACGTTTAACTTTTTCAATTATACTAAATAAAACCTTCTTGATATAAATTGTAAAACATAATTTACATCAAAGACTAATTCACTCACTAGTGAGTAAGAAATGATGCAAATGATAAATGACTTAGCCACTCCTAGAGCGATACTTGCATTTTAGCCTGGAAAATGTTAGCCCTTCGTGGTACAGCATGGAAATTGGCTTATCGAAATTTGATGCGATCAGGTGTTTGGTAAGTTTGCATTTGATTCTTTCGAGTTCGTAGCTTGCATTTTTTGCCTTTGAGCACGGAAGCTGCCGATAATAGTCAGAAGACATCTGAAGAAAATGTAACAACGCCATTGCCTGTGAATAAAGAGATGGAAGATCTTCTGGCTAAAAGCGCAAAACTGTTGCAAGAACGCAATGAATTTGAGGATAAATACAAACGCGCTTTGGCTGAAGCCGAGAACGTAAGAAAAAGAATGCTTCGACAGGTAGAGGATGCGAAGTTCTTCGGGATTCAGTCCTTCTGTAAAGACCTTCTTGAGGTTGCCGATGTGCTTGGGAAAGCTACTGAAAGCGCTCCTGAGGATCAACTCAAAGACGGCGTTAATCCTCATTTCAGGCACCTATTTGAGGGTCTAAAAATGACCGACGCCCAGTTGTTGAAAGTACGTACTTACATCTTGCCCGCATTCTGCTCATGCTTCTCTGTAGCCCTGTCAGACTGTTCGCTTTGCTAAACTGTCTAGGTTTTTTCCAAACACAACCTACACAAAATTGCACCTGCTATTGGCGACGCTTTCAATCCCAACATTCATGAGGCTATGTTTACCATTCCTGTGAGCGGTGAAAACAAACCGAATACAATTGCCGTCATTCAAAAGGTAGGCTACAGTCTGCATGATCGAACTCTTCGTCCTGCCTACGTCGGAGTTTTTACAGCCTAATGTACACAGGAAATCAACTCCTGGTGGCGGAAACTCAAGTAATTTACATGTATATAAATCTAGAATTCCTCTCATCTTGGTGCGTTTTGCTCAAACGTTTATTGGTGAGGTCGATTTCGTGTTGAGTTACCGGCGAACTATCATAGATAGTTCCTATTTCGATGACTTAACATCTCCGACCGCTGTACTAATTACATGCAACGTCATCTTTTGTTCTCAAATGGGCCCTTGAACATCATTTATCCTAGCAGGAATGATTGAACAGATGGAGACGCC